AGGCATTTGGCCCAAAGGCATCGCAGTTGGCAAACTTAACGTTGTGCGACAGATGCAAAGAACCGCGCTTGGTTCTTAACAGTGCCATTTGCGGGGTTTTCCCAATGCAACACACCGAGCAGATCAGCCTGCCAATGGCTTCGAATGTACGCCTGGCATTCCTTTCCAAGGACACGCGTGCCTTGTTCATAGGAGCCAGCTTTGCTTTAACAAACAGGCGCAAGTCCATCACACGGCCTTCTACTGTTTCGTTTTGCAAAGATCTATTCCACTACAGGGTTTGCCATTTTGGCAAACGTTTTTCTGCTTATGGTGACAGCGCACAGGAGTTTTGTAGATTGCTGCGTGGCATCCTAGCCAACCACCCGCATAGAGCTTTGTTCGTAGATGACCTGCTTGCCGCCCTGCTTGCCGCCACAAGTAACACTTATTGTGTTTTTTTGCTGCAATTTCAACAAATTTAAAGTGCAGTTTCAGAACTCCCTCACCTGGTGCGGGTGGAACATAAACTTCAGTCTTGAAAAACAATCAAGCTCACGCCGTTGAACGCCCTAAAACGCAAAATAAGACGTAAACTTCTGGAACAAGTTGGGGTTGCTCATTTGGGCTACCACTCTTAGTCTAGAGCTTTAGAGCTTGGCTGTGCTTAGACTTGCGTTTGCCTCCAGGTTGCCGATTTCTGTGCATGCACGACTGTGGCCCGCGTTTCGCAGCACTCAGCTCGAAAACCATTCTGGTCTTGCCTGTGCAGGGCATTATGCAGTAGGTTCTTGAATTTTGGAATTCAAACCAGATGAGTCCGACCTGCCCAAGCCATAAAGCCGCGGTGCATGTTTCAGGCCCTTCGGCAGAGCATGCCCGCCTGTCTAAGGCAAGCAAGGCCAGTGTGGAATTCCAGATGAACATAATATGTCCGCTTTGACACCAGCCTATGCTTGCGTGTAAAGCAATTTCCTAGAGATGGTGGCCCACTGCTACAGTTGGGCGGCTGCCAACATTCTCATTTCTTGCTCAATGCCAGTTGCAGCTGTGAGCGCTGCAACTTTCATTTGGGCTAACGTCGGTTGGGCGCCGTTTGGGGTTTTCTGTTTGTGGGTTTGGGTTGGTTGGTGTGTTGTCCCCCCGTTTTCTTCTTAGTGGGAAGAGTACGTGTCCTGTTTCACCTTCACTTTCTGTGCTTTACCGACTCCTTTTACAATGTTCTTGGTGCAGACGCGTGCTGCCTCGGGGCAACACAATTTCCCTTGTATTTTAAGGCCTTGAGTGAATCTTGTACGCTGCTGCCATTTTATGCTTCTAGCCTTAAGCCCACGCTTAGGGACGCTTGCCCTGCTGGCTTTTGGAACCCGCCTGCCCCTACCAGAGCCGGCCCTAACACGCTTTTTGCCTTTTCCTGTCCGCTTGACGCGCTCGTCTTGCAAGGGGGCGTCAAAGGACTTCCAGCCGCGCTTGTGAGTGTGAGTTCTTCCGATCCGGCAATACGCCTGTTTTGCCTTCCGAGCGCATGTAGGCGCGAGGACACGCTTGTCTCGCGAACCCGTTTTTTCGGGTACCCTCAGGTCCTAGGCTGTGCAGCCTTTCATGCAAACCCGGAGAAGAAGGTGCATCAGTGCTGGGACCGTTTCTCATTAGGCCAGGAGCAGCGCGCCAGGCCTTTAACGCCACTCGTTTGCGTAAGATCTTTTCTCCGTGCTTTCACACCCGGGGTAGGCGCCAAACCTGCACTAGCTAAACACGCCTGTTGGCGAGGAGTTTGCGCGCAGGCTCGGCGTGGGTTGCAGATTGCGTGGGCCGAACACGCGTGTTGGCCCGTTTGCGTCGCGCAGCCTCTTGGACAACGCCGGACAAAAAGAAGATGTGTGCTTTGCATGCTTTACTTGGCTTCTCTTGAAAACCATGTCTACTTTAGACTTGCAGCAGTGAACAGGATTCGAACACAAGGAGAATGGGAACTCGCCAAAATGATGCACGGAACCCATCTTCAGAGCGCCTGCATCAATGCTGCAAAGCCTCACGCTGATTACTCCCGACAAACAAACTGTAGAACTGTTCTGTTCAATCATGAAACTTTGGAAGCTGAACACGTCCCGAATGCGTGTAAGCTATTCATGAAGGCTCTATGGCTTGGACAAAATAAAGCCGTAGTCATGACCGGCAACTAGCCTGCACAACTCGACCACACACCATCGGTTGGGTGGCGTCATCAATGATCAACCGCATCTCGCTCTGCACGCTGATGCCGGCGTTGCTGGGGAAAAGGATGCAAAATCCAACTCCAGTGCCTTCTGGCTCCCAAAGGTCCAAACTTGCGTTTCTCGGTCGGCTTCGTTGAGCAAAAGGCAAGCGTCAGTGTTGAGACCCGCCACCGAAGCGGAAGTTGTATTGATCGCTGCAAACTGGTTTTGCATGAAAAGACCCAAGCCACTAGACTCGTTGCAAAGAAGGCTGAAGATGCGAGCAAAGCCGTGAAGCGCACGCAAAACCAACCTTGTGTAATGACCGAAAAGTGTGTGCAGATCGCAACTCAAGCGCGATTGCAAATCATGCCTCTTGTGAACTTGGGGAGGGGGACGACCCCTGAGCCCCAAAGAGGCACCCCGAATGCACACACGTCATGAGGCCACACGTTTACATGTCAGTTGTCAAGTCGGCCTACGGCAATGTCCGTATGGCTCAAGCAGCTCAAGTGCCCATGTTGAAAACAGGGTTGGTTCGTGGGCGCCGGGCCTTTTTCGCTTTTGAAAGCATTTCTGAACAGAACTTTTTGCTGCTAACGCGGCGCTGGTGGTCCCAAACTTGCCTGCTGCCAGCTCTAAATGCGTTGTGTAAAATTTGCAAATTTGCATTTTGCGGGCGGCGCTGCTTTTTTCAACAGCTGCCGTTGCGCTACTTGCAATGCAATCATGCGCTGTAGCCGGTGTTCTGGTTGGCTTGGGTTTTTTCCCTGTCGCATAAACAGTGGAAGGGCAGCTGTCTGGTTGATCTTTTGGAACTACAACGTGAAACAGTTCCTGCCGGTTCCACACCACCAATTGGAAAGCAAAAGGCAAAACCCAGATCCAAACAATTGGTCTGTTTAAGTCCACAGTCCGCAGTCAGGCCATGCACTGGTCGTTGTTTTTCCTCAGCGCATGTAAGAAAGTGACCTAGGTTTCTTTTTTTAGTGATTCCTTTCAGTCATGCGTGTAAGTTGTGAATGTAGGTACCCAGAGGTAGCAAACCAGCTTGCCATTCTTGTCCATGCTGATTGAAAGCACTGAAACCAACGGATTTTGTGCACTTACGCGTTTGTGGGTAACGTACATTCGTGGCTCCTTTACTTGGGGATGCCTTTTGCCAGCTTCTGGATAAATTGTGCTCGCAAATTGAACATGTTTTCAGGGTTTAGTCAAGTTCAGGATGACAAACGCGTGTGACGGGCTCAAAAGCTGCGCTGGCATCCTGTCGTGATGCCGCTGGGCCTGAAATACGAGACGCTGTCCAGGACGAAGTGACGGATTGACGAAACTTGCCCCCATCCCTCACGCTTATTCGTTGTAGAAAAGGAGTATGCCTATATAGGTGTATGCATATTACATATTGTATGCAGGTTATATTTCAGTTAAATGACCATTATATGTATTTTGTATTTTTTTGTTTTTGTATTTATGTACATACGTATATATGTATATATGCATACATGCACACTTTACGAATATTGTATGTTTATTATGTATGTGACATGTACATTGTATGTACAAATTGAATGTAAAACATGTGTACATGATCTGTATCTTATGTAGAAATTGTATGTAAAAGTTTGTATATGTTATGTTTATGATATGTATATGATATGTATATGCTATGCATATGATATGTATTTGATATGTAGATGATATGTGTATGATAGGTACATGATATGTACGTGATATGTACATGATATGTATATGATATGGACATTGTATGTACAGTGCATGTACATTCTGTATACTGTATACTGTCTGCATACTGTACGTATGCTCTAAACCTGTCAGGTGTGTACTGTATGTATATTTTATGTACACTACGTGCCTACTGTATTACATCATATGCATACTTTTTGTTGTCATAAGTTTATTGTATGCATGAGGCATGTTGTATCAATATTTAGATATACATACGTGGCTTGTCCCTATACTCCTTGCTACCCCCGATTGAAGCCGCTCTCCCTCATCAACCCCGGGGTTGGGAATCAAGGGTTGGCGGTTGGTTTTGGAGAGCTGTCTCAGGTTGTTTTAGAATCATTTTTGGGTTTGTTTCGGGTTCTTAAGGTGCATATGGGTCTTTTTTTGTTATTGGCTAAGGGCAGGCTGATTTGATTTGGGGTTGTTTTCAGAGTCAGTTTTGGGTGGTTTAGAGTTGTGTTACTTAAGGGTTTGGGATGAGTTTAGGCTTGGTTTACGCCACAGGCAGGTTGTCTCAGAGACGGTCAAGCTGCACGCATTCCAGCCATGCTTGATACAGCTTAGTATTTTGTTGTTTTTGGAACTGGGATGGTGGGAAGGTTTCAGCTGTGCTCATCAGACGACCCTCATGGTGGAGACTCAACATCATAACGTATGCTTGTGTGAAGTTCAGCAAGGAATGGACCATGTTCGCGTGAAATTCAGGCACTCGGGTTTGGAAGAGTCTAAGAGCCCTTTTCAAATGTGAGTAGTCACACAGTATCAAGGAAGACTGCAAAATTAAGATTGGACTGTCAGGGCTGAACAATGTTTGCTGGGCGATGTGCCAGGAGTAGCCCTTGTATTGTCGCAGCACACAGCGGCGGCCTCGTTGCATGACGGTGTGTGAGTCTCCGTGCGAGAAGTCAGTTGATCGGTTTAAGCGCGAACGGGGACTGCCTACCATGAACTGATTGTACCCCACACCCGTGGTGTTTCTAGTTATTTCTAAACAAATGGGGGACAGACTCTGTGGCTCAACTTCGAGTTGCCTTTCTTGCTCGCAGGGACACCCAACTGCCACTGAAAGGCGATTTACTGCCCTGGCCACTCCCCACTCCCCCCACCCTAGCCAGGCCCACGTTTGTGACAGGCAAGCGTGTGCTGGCAAAAAGCGGGAGCTACCGCGGGTACCGTGGTGTAACATGAAAAGACACCTGTTGGGACAACCTTCTTGCCTGTCAAGGGACCGTTCGGATGGTTGGGCAGAGTCCTTCATGCTCCCACTCTCCAGCTCTTGAGACATGGATTTAAATTCTGAAGGTAGAGGAGTCTCCACTTGCGGGGACCCGTTTGGTTTTGGCCGGCGCGTGAATTTGCGGGACATCGCAACGGCTTTCTCGGAACCCAAGCGATCCGAGAGAAAGCGCCTCTCAGATCTGCGACAATGGAGCCTGGAGCCGGCAGCTCAGAGCTATGTTCCCGGGCCGAAACGCGGGAGCTGTTGCGGTCCGGTGAACTGGGTGCTCAAGATGAAATAGGAGGGGCAAGCCGCAGGAATTTTGGTCCATGTTTCCACTTAGGGCAATCAAAATTTTGGTACCGGTTTCTTGAGCCACAGTCAATTAGGGGGGGATGGGAAAAGAAGGAATTCTGTTCCGGCCTCTGAAACTGCGTACCTTGCTTCCAGGATGGCTTACCCCTGATTGCCATTACCTTGCTTTCTATCAGGGTTTCCACTGCTCCCGAGCCACTAAACGGTGTAAATCATTAGAATGAGGTTGCGGTGTTAAAGATTAGCGCATTTGTCGGATCTCAGACTCATTTTGCCCACTTGCGGAATGATCCAGAAACCGCTCGCAGTTCCCTTTTTTAAATAGCTCTGACTAGCTGGGAATGTGTAAGCGATCTCATGAAACATGAATGTTTGGTGGTATGATGGTTTTCCAAGGGCCCAAGGGGTGCTGGGCATCAGTCCGACCCAAACACTGAATTTTCGTAGGCGCAAAAACAGGCCGCCCATGTTTCCATTTCTGGGCCCCGTGTGGCTCAAAATTAAACAGGAGGGGTTACGCAGGATTTGGTCCATGTTTCCACTTACCAGGGCAACCCATTTTGGTACCGGTTTTTTGAGCCATTGTCAAACGCCTGGCCTGTCCCAAATGCGGCCCAGTCGCTATCGCCTGGTGCCCGAGCGGAAAAGCAGCGAGCCGGCCGCTTGAGCTGCACAAGTCGCGGGATCTTTAGCCCGCGCACTGGGCGGGCTGGTTCAGCAGGCGTGCCAAAAACGGAGCTGCTTGGCAATGCGGTCCCAGCTAAAGGCCTAGATGTCCGACGATGTTTTCGAGAGTGCTGTGGCCCTTGAGATGCTATTTTGCAAAGGTGATGTTTGTTTTCTTGGATTTTTCCGCTTACATGTGAGTGTGAGTGTCGCCCAGAAACAAGCTGCCTTTCTGACCCTGTCATTTTTTTGTATTCTCTTACCGATTACCACTACAGTAGGACAGGAAGCGAATGCATCACGGTGGCATCAAGCAAGTAACGGATACCTGGACAGAATCTGCATTGGGATGAGGTATTATCGGGGGTTCATGGGCCGCGGCTTCAAAGGAAACGTTGACCTCTAAATTCACCGAATGGTGGGCGGGTTTCTCTGAAAACACAACTGACCGTAATGAGGGATCAACACATGGGGGTGGTTCAACATCAGGGACTCCCCAAAAATGGGGTTTCCTTTCAGTTTTGCCCACAAAAAAGGGGAATTTCCACCAAGAAGACCAGATTCGCCCCGGCCTTCAGAACTTCGCCCACCTGGACCGCATTGACCTCATAGGAGGCAACGGAAGGCGCCGGAGGGATCTCATTGGCCATGGATTCGGAGCGTAGGCCTGGATGGTTTTCCTTTGTGTCGGCCATGTTAGGGTCGGGATGACAATGACGGCCCACGGGACTTAGCAGCTTGCGTGCGGTTGCGGTTGAGTGCCTGGTAGATGGCCTTCTGATCTCTCCGTGCTGTGAATGGGGAACTGGAGGTTCCCCTCAAGAGTATAAATCCGCAAATGACGTCCACCAAAGAGTTGCCAGTCAAAGTCATACCCAAGTGGGGTGAGAAGAAAGCTTGCAGGTGGCGGCAGAAGCGGGCAGAGGAAGAATTTGCCAGACGAGCGATAGAGGAGGAAAAGATCCTTGAATGCACAGCATTTCTGAGCTTGGCACATATTCAGTTCCAGACAGCAACAACAGCAACAGCAACAACAGCAACAACAGCAACAGCAACAACAGCAACAGCAACAGCAGCAGCAGCAGCAGCAACAGCAGCAGCAGCAGCAGCAGCAGCAGCAGCAGCAGCAGCAGCAGCAGCAGCAGCAGCAGCAGCAGCAGCAGCAGCAGCAGCAGCAGCAGCAGCAGCAAGCAGCAGCAGCAGCAGCAACAGCAACAGCAACGGCAGCAGCAGCAGCAACAGCAGCAGCAGCAGCAGCAGCAGCAGCAGCAGCAGCAGCAGCAGCAGCAGCAGCAGCAGCAGCAGCAGCAGCAGCAGCAGCAACAGCAACAGCAACAGCAACAGCAACAGCAACAGCAACAGCAACAGCAACAGCAGAAGCAACAGCAACAGCAGGAGCAACAGCAACAGCAACAGCAACAGGAACAGCAACAGCAACAGGAACAGCAACAGCAACAGGAACAGCAACAGCAACAGGAACAGTGGTTGTGGTGGTGGTGGTGGTGGTGGTGGGTGGTGGTGTTGGCTCTGGCTCAGCTTGATTTGCAGAAGGTCAAACGTGCTTTTTTGAGACCCTGCCCTTTCCGCCGCCTTGCACCGTTTGAACCAAGGAAACTGAGAGAGCTGCAGGAGGCGGAGGAGAAGAGGCCGGCTGCCTTCCACATTTATGTTGCTGAGGTTGGGTTTTTCGATGGTTTCCTTTTTCAGCCTTGAGGGGCCAAAGGTCTTAACCCTGTGTGACAGGGTTCGTTTGCAGGGTTTGGAAACAGCTGTTCAAACAACAAGGCCATGGCGTTTTGTGAAAGGAAGCCGCCGTGTGGATGCTTAACAGTGATGTGAGCCTTGTTTAAGCAGGAGATCAAAGCAAAGTGTGTTTTCTGAGGGAGCCGGCCAGGTTGCCTGCCTTTGTGATGTGTTGTGAGGGTTTGTTTGCCCTATAGGTCTATAGGTTCAAGCGCCTCAGGCGCTTGAACCCGAGCTGAGTTGTCAGAGCTGCTCATCCTTTGGGTTTTCTTGCAGCTTTCTTGCTTTGGTTTGTTTTTAGTCATGGCTTCAAAACAAGCTATTTTCTGATTGTTGCGATGGGGTGCCATGCGGCGTTACAAGTTTGTTTCTCACTTGTTTGCGGCGGGTATCCTGTTTCAGGCTTATGATGGCTGATGAGTTAGGCTACCCTTGAATCCGGATTGTATGATGTCTATGTGAGTTCGGCTCTTTCTCCAGCCCGAGAGTTGAATTGGCAGTGTGCAGCGTACCGTTGTTTGCTCGTCACAGGGTCACGTGTCCCTGGGTGTGTGTCGAAACTAGGGGGAATCGGGGAACCCCCTTTGTGAGTGGCTTCCTTTTGGTTTCCCCTGTAAACCCACCCTATGTGCCACAAGGAGAAACAATCCCCTGCTTTTGGCCGGTTTTTCTTTTGGGTTTCCCAAAAAAGACAAACAGTCAACCCCTGACTTTTGGGCTTCCTGCGAATCAAATCAGCCAACTCAAAAGCGTCTGGGGTCGCCCTAGTTCGGTCTTTCCCCACAAAACTCGCGGCATAAGACGCGCCCCGTGCCGAAACCGACGCTCACCGGTCCGCGGCTCGCTCCAGCCGAGGCGCCAGCGCAAGCTGGCCTTCCAGGCGCGTAGGCGCCGGCAGCAGGAGGAGGCGGGAGCAGTTCGGGGATCTCAACGGCCGGGGGCGCAGGGCGCCGCTTGGTTTCTTCTTCATTTTTCTTCTCCCCCAAGGTTTTCCAAAACTGTTGTTTTTCTTCAACTGCTGGTTCTTTTGTTTCCCGGGAACCAACGCTGGTCTCTATTTGTTGTCCTTGTTTCTCCAAGATCAAAAGCAAGTTTTGGTGGCCAAACCCACACTAAGTGGGAAGATGGAGGTCAAACAACAGGTTCGGTCTGCGTTGATCGCAGAAACACACGGGATTTATGTTAAGACATTTGGGGCTTTTCTATGTCAAAGTTCATGGCCAGCCGCTGAGTCGCTGAGTCCAGGTCCGCGAACCTGACAATTTGACCCGTCGGCCTTTGCAGGAGGATCGCCGTCGCAAAGAGGAGCGAGAACGACAGCGCAGGGGGGCCCGAGTTTCGGTCTGAGCCAGTTTTTTTCTTCTCAGTTCTGACATTTGTGGCTCCACCGTTACTGATTTTAACCCCTGGGCGGTGTGGATAAGATCTCGGGTTTTTTTTTGTGGTTCACCAGACATTTTTGGTCAGAGCGAGGCCGGGACCTGAGAAGCTTTCCAGCGAGAGATTCCTCCGATGCGCTTGTCGCCGTTTTCCGCTCAAGGCCAAGGCGCATTGAGCGCTATCGCTCTTGCACTCCAAATTGCGCCCTCAGAATGGCAGGCTGCCTTTCAGATTTTTTAACAAGCCAGAAAGAATGGACGTAGAATGGACAATGGACGCACCCTGGATGTTTGTTAAACCAGTGCTCGACTCAGGTTCACTACGCTTATCTTTGATAGTTTCTCGCAGGATGCAGGAGCGACCTTCCAACAGCGACTCCATGTTTAATGGTTGGCAACAGGGGCCCTGTGTCATCCGGCACGTTTCCAAGATCTCCAGAACCTCATCGTGGGGGTAGGATTTTGTACAACAGTGCTGGCGTTAGTTTTTGGCGATAGACTGGCTTCAGTGTTTAGGGTTTGGTCTAAGGTCAGCGGAACTCGGGAAGCATACACATACGTGACATACGTAGGTAGATGGACAGGTATTTGAACTTATCATTTGTACCATGCATTTGTATCACTTGCCTTGCTGGTGTTCAGTCGGGAATCACCGTTCCAGGTGTCGGGAATAAACCTCGGGATTCCCTAAAAGGAAACCAATCGGGGACGGTTTTTCTCGCCTATCGCACCAAGCTGTGCAAACCACGTGGACATGCATCTCGGCGATGAGGGTTTTCTCTCACCTTGTGCCTGAATCACGATTATAATAAGATAATTATATATACACATATGATCATATGATATAATATGATATAATCCAATATAACATCATGTTTTGTATGATACAATGTAAAAGAAACGTTTTTATACATAGTATAAATACATGCTCATTTTGGGAGTCAGGGTTACCCTGGAGCGTGAGTGCCTTCCCACAGAGTCCTGGTGCATGGACACACATACATACACACACACACACAGGTTTTCCTCGCGTTTCTAAAATTGCTTCCTCACAGTGGGTAAACCTTTGTATGTATCCTTTACATGGGGTGATCACTAGGGACAACATACCAAAATATGGAGGACTTTCACCACCAACATGGTCATTTTGGGGCGGGAATATTGATCAACCTCCATATGTACATAAATATATTAATGTATACATATATATATATATATACATGTATCTACACACATATATATATATATAGTCGAACATAAATATAAATAGGTGTGTATGTATGACCATAGCAAACCATGGGGATTTTTGAGGCCAAGAGACGGTCCGCATGGAGGAGTTGCGTCGCATCGAGGAGCAGCGCGATAGGCGTGGGACTGCGAAGCTAGCGCCCAGAATGGGCCATTTGAGCCAGTGGGTCAAAGCCCGGCGAAATGAAAAGCCCGGGTGGGTGAAGGTTCGTAAGGCCATACATGGGCGAAAGTGCCTTTCTTTTTTGCTTTACATGGTTACAAGTTTAGAGCCAAAGCTCAGCGGGTTTGGGTGCTGCTTCCTTCGGGGTGGCGGGGGTTTGGGCTCACCATCCAAGAAACCTGGACTTCTCCTTTCGGGTGTGTGAATCCTCGCAATTTGCCCAGATCTGACACTCTCGGGGCAGTTCTGCACGGTTCCTGGAGAGCATTTCCGGGAATGCCCCGCTCCTCCTGGCGTGGGTGATATCTTTCAGGATTTTTGAGGGATTTGGGATGGTTGAAACCCTTCAAATACCCTCTCACCAATGGACATGGAACCCGTCGAAAAAGGCACAGTGGCTTGGACCCCTCGGAAAGATTATTTGGCCCTGCGGGGTGGTCACATGCTCAGCGCAGCGTATGGCGCAAATGAATGCATCTTCCAGGCTTGTCTTTTTCGAGGGACCCAACTAGGCAACCAAAGGGACAACAAAATAGGTTGGGGGTTACTCTGTTTAGAGACAAGCTCAGATTTCTTCCAACATATCTGCATTTGTTCTGGGCACTATCATTCAATCCCATTTCCATGGCGTGCTGTTTGTGCTTTCGCCCTTTCGCCCTTTCTGTCAAGTCCATTCGCTCGACTGCACAGTTGTAACACTTCATGTTCCACTGCGCTCGCTACGTGTTTTCTTTTTTTTAAACCGTGGGTTCTGGGCAGACTCCCTGAGCGTTTTGGTCAGCACTCAGATCGCATGGGGTTGGCAGTTGCCGTGAAGGAGCCCCCAACAACGGATCGTCTCATGTCTCCGTTTTTTTCACCAGCGGGTTTACCAGCGAAAAAGACATGAGCATGAGTGGCAGACAAGAGGAGCGCCGTTTTTCTTGGTTTATCCCATCCCCGTCCAAAAGTGCGGACCCTCTTTGGATGGTCTGAATGGGAAGCTGAAAGGAGTTCTGAATATTGGGCACCGCACAAAGCCGACTGGTTTCAGGGTGCGGCGGGAGCAGGAGGACGGGACATCCTCGGATCAAAGCCCAAGCTGTCCGAAACACGAGGGGCACATCCCGTTGTTATTTTTTTGATTTCTCTGAGGATTCAAACAGACCGTTCGAGTCACTTGAAACGTAGAGTTTCCATTTGGTCGGCAAGGTGCCAAGGAAAACATACAACCCTCGGGCCTGCGGGCAAAGGATCATGTGAACAAGTCATTCACCCAGTCAATGCGCAATGTTTAAGGGGTCCGATCCTAACTTGGTTTGTTTTTCCGTGTGTTGGTTTTCTGAAGAGTCGATCGGGATTTACAAGCAATTGCAGGGATCAACAAAGGGATCGTCGGGTTTCCTAAACGTTACTTTTTTGCTTGATTTGCCTTAAACAACACTTCAATAGCGGCGTCCTCACCAATGTTCTTCGCTGGGGCATTTGACTCTTTGGGCGAGCTATATAGACCCGGGTGGGCAAACAAAAAGCACCCCTGGTCATAAGTTTTTGTTAGCAGGTTTCACAAAACACTGTGCCATGTTCACAGCCGGTCCATTTTCAGCCCCCTGAGATGCTGTTCCTATCTCGCCCAAGGGAGGGAGCCCGTTGGTCGGGGCCGCGACACCCAGAAATATGTATATATACATATACATACACATAAAAACTTTAGAGCCTCCGGCTCAGTCCGCCGACATTGTCCTCTCCCTTTTCTCCTTCTTCCTCTCTCCCTTGTCTCCCTTGTGTGTTCTGTCGTCCTCTCTCCCTCCCACTGCCCACTGCTCCCCATCCTCCCCATCCCCCCAAGCCTCTCTCCCCAATCT